GCTTCCCACACACAGTCATCTCTCCTTTACAGGAAGTGTCCCAGCTTTATCTCATCCGGACATTTACCCAGGAAACCTTCTGGTGGTTAGAGTTTACCTAGGGCTTGTCACAGTTTTGTTTTTCCTTTGAATAAGTAGCTGATGGGTCCTGCTTACAGCCCAGGACTGGACTTGTTCCTTTGTCTTTCGGGTGTGAAATACAAATCATGTTTTTATGATTTTTTTGTAAATCTTTACTCTTTTTACACCTTGTTTTTGTAAGCTGAAGTTTCTTATTAAAAAAAAAATGAAATTCCAGCGCGTCATGTCATTATTCTACATACTTTAATAAACATTTAGATAGGGGTACAGAAGATTCCACGCACAATGGCTTCACATCCTTGACAAAACTATTCTCATTGTGCCTTGCAGAATGAATTAGAAATAAATTCTCTCACACTGAAAACCTTTTTTTTCCCCCCTGCTTGTCACCGCTTTAAGCGTGACAGCTTTGAAGTGTGAGTAGCAGCTCTGCAGAGAAGGAGAACAGACCCTACTCTGGTGAAGTATCGTAACTCGTAATGGCTAAACACGTCTCTTCTGGTCCTCGGGTGTGGGGGGCGAGCTCTTCTCCCTTGCCGTCCTGTCTGACCCCAAACACTGAATTTTCCAGGTGCTCAACCCCGGAGCCAGGATGGTTGTCACCTGCAGTTGTGCCCCACAGGACAGCGCTCAGCAGTAAGCACCGGCAGTACCCCTGGGCAGGACGCTCTTGCCGCGGTTTCATTTGGAAAATGTCTCTCCTCTTTCCTCTGTCCTTCCCTGCCCAGGACTGAGCCTTCACTCTGTTCCTTGTGTCCACGTTCTCCCTGGGACTCCTTCTCGCTCTTTCCCTCTGGTTTGAGGATCTCCACCTGCTCTCCCCTGCCCTCAGCCCCGAGCCAGGCCTGGCCTTTTCCGAGCCCACTCCCCTGCTCCCAGCAACCCCCCCTCTCAGCAGCTTTTTGGGAAAAAAAAAAAGCTCCCGGGTACCCAAGGCATCGCTGCTTTCCCCAGGAGGTGCCTGTTTCCATCAGGAGGGGACTTCCCGACAGCGAAACTCTCTTCGTTAGTGCTGTTCAGCCTTGCGCACGTACCCGCTGCTGGGGCACCCTGCACTGGCACTTAAATGGGCATCCATCACCTCAGGGCTCTGGTACTAATCTCACTGAAATGTGGTCATCCCTGCCTTGATTCCCACGGTCTTTGATTATATATTACCATGCCCACGTGGTTCAACATCAAACATGTCGGGATGGAGCAGCTGGGGTCGCTGAGATGGATCCGTACCAGCAGGACGGGGTGTTTGCTGGGCAAGCTGGGATCAGACTGGTGCATTGAGACAGGATCTCAACCCTGCCCCAGTCCTCGTCTTCTCCTGCACCCAAACTCTTGTGCCTGGAAAAAACAGCTTGTGGGGTTGAGATCTGCTAAAGTAACCTGGCCCAAGCAGAGGTGTTCACTGCGGAGCCCCAAACCTGGTGTGGTTTTCAGCTTTTGGGGTGTGCTGTGTGTCACTCCATGCTACAGGGACGGGCAGGTTCTTCTAATGATCCTTTGTGGAATGAGAATGGGCCACAGTGTTGTAGTTATAACGAGAATTTTATTATATAAAGATTTTAGCAAGCAGAGTAGCTTACCCTGACACAGAATTTCTAGAAATTAGCGTAGCTTTCCTGTTACTTCTATTTCCCTGCTCACTGCGAGCTAGTTACCCTCCTCTTTGGGGACACCCAGGTCACCAGTCCAGGCACCAGCTGAGGAGCTGTGGGGTTACGAAGCCACTCGGCTCCCCAGGGGGACAATACTGTGACATTGGCCATCCAGGCTACAGCCACATTTGTCCCTACTGCTGTATTCCTTTCCCAAATCCCAAAGAGCTAATTGATCCACCCAGTTAGTTAATTGATTTATAGCTATTAGACACTATAATTAACTGACCAGCTGGAAAGCTGTGTGTTATCTGCCCGGTGGGAGCAGTGTTGAGAAAGCAGCCAGCTCTGACGGGACTCTGATATCTGCCCCGTCCCTGCAAACAGCACCGCTTGTTTGTTGTCTTTGAAGGATTTTACTCCACCTCAGATTTTGTGCTTTTCCTTTAATCTCTTTGCTCCCATTCAGCATCAGCGAGCTCACCCTGAGCCTCTCTCTTCCCCCTTATCTCCTTCCACGTTCCTGCAAGGTCACAAACTTGTCTTTGTGCTCCCTGTCGATCAGGAGTTCGCATTGCTGGGCAGACCAGTTCGGACCAGCTGGTTATCAAAGCATTTCCAGCCCCCAGCAAAACCTCCCACTGCTGTCAGACCCTCCCTGACACAAGGCAGGTGTTCATTAAGCATCGGGAAGATGATGCATCTCATCGTGGGGCCGGCCGAGATGTCTGTACCTTGTACTAACGTATCTGGCCGGTGCTAACGAACTCCTGGGAGCTCCGTTCCCCGTGGGGATGGAGGGGAATGGGGAGGAGGTGCTGTAGGTGCCTGTTGTAGAGACTCACAAAATTAGGTAGGCCACAAGCTCAAAGAAAATTAATTCTAGTCAAATACTCTAAATATTACTAAACTACAGAGTCCAGGTGCCAAGTGGAATCAGATAATACACAGCTGATTTAAGCTTAAATTTTAGAGAGGAACTAACCCAAACGTTGTTTCATTCACCAGTCGAGATGAGGGCTCTGAACCTCGGGGAGTTCCCTCACGCAGCATCCCAACCCATGGGGAAAGTTCCCAACTGCAGACCTGCTGCTCCAAAGAGGACTGACTCAATTTGTCCTCCGACAGGATCCCGTTTATCCGCTAGTCGAATCTGGTCTGTGGTCAAAAATACGGTCATGTTTGTCCTCGCTGGCACAGGGCTTTGGCTTTTGGCCAAAGTGTGGATCTAACAATAGCCAGTTGTGCAACCCTGTTGTGACTGAAATCAGCAGATGTTGTAGTTACCCGTCCACAGATTTGCCAGAACTAACAAGTGTTTTTATATTTCACCAAAGTTAACAAAACGCTGTGGCTCAAGAGTCTTGCCATCAGGGTGGGCACAACTGCCACAGTGCCTGGCAGCACCTGCACCAGGAGATGTGTTGGACCAGCAGCGGGCTCGGGAAAGGGGGGAGAGGGTCCCCCCTTGCACGATGCTGTGTGCCCTGGGGGTGCAGAGCCCCCTCCTTTGCACAGTTGCTTTGTGTTCTAGGGGTGCAGGCTCCCCCATCTTGCATGGTGGGGACAGGGCAGGAACAGAGGCTGCCCTCAGAGGCTGGTGAGGTGCAGAGTTTGCAGGTTTTGCATCAAATTCTGCTTTAAAACGGGCTTGCTGAGGGCTCTTAGATAACAGGAGGAATTTGGCTGGCCCTGGTTATCAGAGGGTGCTTTGAGAAGTGCTGCCTGGGTCTTGTGCAGCCTCCAGGAAGTGAGGGGGAAGGTCTGTTGACCCCGCTTGTGCTTCCCCTGCTAGTGAGTGTTTATCTTCAGCTGCTGAAATCAGTGTAAGGAGACGCTCTGCAAACAGGAGTAAAAGCTCTCGGAGGGAATCGCAGCTTGGCTTTCAAGGAAGGGAAATCCAAGTGCTCTGGAGGGCTCCAGGGAGAGCTCCCGGGCTTGGGGTGGGGAGGAATTAGCACCTTGCTGTTGGTTTGTGTTCAGCAAAAGCAGGGGGTGGGGGAGATCCGGCAGGGGTGAGGGGCTGCAGGGAGCTGGGGTGCAGGAGTCTCTGCGATGCTCCTCGGCGCTTCATCTCTCCAAGCGGGCGAGCTGCTTTCCAGGGCTACCCGGGACTGATCTGCCCAGGTAAAACCCCAGTTTGGGGATAAGTATGTTATTTCCTCTCTTTTTCCTCTCGGTAGGTCCCTGATGTTAACTCCTGCCAGCCTGGGTTGAGGCTGCGGGTATTAACTGGTGGTGCTGGGAGCCCAGTGCTCCGGCTGGGCTGGGATCGGCCGGTTTGGGGTCCAGGCATCCCCTGATCACTTATCCCTTGGGATAAGCCCTGATCTTTGCAGCCTGGCAGCGAGGAAGCCCCAAAGGCTGCTCCGGGGAGCCTGGGCATTGCTGCACCCGTGGGGTCTGAGCCCCTCGCCCCTACAAGCCCCCAAACTCTGCCCATGGCAGGGACGCAGCCGGGAGCGGGGCTCGCAGCCCGCGGCAGTGCTGGGCTGGCCGGGTGTCACGGAGGCTCAGACACTCAAATTAGTCAGGTGCTACACTCGAAATGAGATTTATTTTAATCAGAATCGGTTTAGTACTCATACTAACATTGGTAAAACTACAGATTCAGAAGGCCAAGCGAAATTCAGGCTGCGCAGCTGGCTTAGAAATTCCTACGTTTAGAATAATGAGCCAAAAGTGCACAGTCACTCACCTTAGAAGGGGAGGGCTCTCAGCCTCGAGGAGGTACCTTGGGCAACATCCTGACCCGGGGGAGAGTCTCCGACCCAAGGGGAGAGCCCCTGGCTGCTCCGAGGAGGACCGGCTCAGTTCGGCCTCCGGCGGTCTGTCCCTTCATCCAACCTGATCTGTGCTCAGATATGGTCACATTACTCATTGACCGAGGGCCTCAATCTTCAAAACGTGTAAGCAACTGTGATTATTATGCAGATGCAACAAGAGTTACCGTGTGTCATGCTCCAGCAGTTGAGGAGTTTCGGTTTTGTCAGGGCGGGTGCACCTACCACACTGGGGGCACCCGGCGGGCGCCTTGTCCCTGATCCAGTGCCAGGGAGGGACAGTGGCTCAGCTGGGATCCCGTGGGACAATAGCAGGGTGGTGCCCTGGGTGCTGTGACCCGTGGGGTTTGCACAGGGCGACTGGAACCTGGCTGCGAGCAGGAGGAGGCTCTGACAGGCAAGGGGGTGCCAAGGGGCGACGCTGGCACTGCCAGGACCCGTGTGCCCTCCTGGGCTGGGGAGCAGGTCTGTGTGACCCCCAGCTCACCCATCTCCCACGGGTCCTCGCTGGTGGCAGGGCCCCGTGGCTGAGGTGACCCAGCACTCGGGGCTCAGCAGGGCTGGGGAGCGCTGCAGGGGACGCGGGACCGGCAGCCGTCCCCGTGCCGGCAGTGACGTCCTGTGGGACGTGCTCACCCACGCCTCTCCCTTTGCAGCTGGATGCTGAGGCCTTGGGGGCCTTCTCCTTCCTGGGACTGGGGTCAGGACGAGCTTTTGGCAAGATGTTCTCACAGATGGGCTACAGGAGGGGCTTCCCCAGGGAGGTAGGTGACTTTGTGACCCTCTTGCTGCCACGCAGCTGGGGCTGCCAGTGTGGTTGGGAGTGGAGGAGCTTTGTGGGGCAAGGATGGGTGCCCGCTGCTCCATTGCTCACCGTGGTCTGGGGAAGAACTGGGAATTGTCTGGGACCTTGACCGGGAGAGGAGGGTGGATGGGTGCGGGGCTTTCTGTGCCTGCTCAGCATCCAGCTGGTCCACGGGCAAAGGTGAGGGCGTGATCCTGCGTTCACCTCCCTGTGCCCTCCCCACAGCCCAATCCGTGGCCGGGTGGACGTGCTCGCGGTCCCCGGGACGTCTGGTACCGGCCGCCCGTGGAGAACCAGAGGAGAGGCTGGGGCCACCAGCACCAGGTAAGGGGGCGGGGGCCAGGGCAAGCAGCTGTGCAGCGAGGGGAGATGGCACTGTTGGGGTTCACCTACAAACCCGGAGTAGCCAAAACTGGGGGCTCCCCCAAGGAGCAGGAGAGGCAGAAAGCTGAGGGCCATGGTGGGGAGGGGGAACAGCGAGCTGCTCTCATCACCGGTGGTGATTTGGCATTGCAGCGTGGTTCCTGGGGCCCCAGACCCTTTCCTGGCCCTGACAACTTCCATGAGAATGAGGAGGATGGAAGATGGGGAACTGGTGAGGACAGGAGACGGGCATCCTACAACTGTCCCCCGCAGTCCCCCTGGAACAACAGAGAAGGTGACCAAGGACCTGAGGACTTCAAAGAGAATGAGGACTGGGACTCGGTGAGGGGGAGATATGCTGGGAGGGGGGCTGCAGCTGTGTGGCTACTCCCAGCCTGGCACCATCCTCACCAGCAGCAATTTGCCGTTGCAGTCTGGTCCCTGGGACCCCAGACCCTTCCCTGGCCCTGACAACTTCCATGGTTATGAGGAGGATGAAGGATGGGAAGCCGAGGAGGACTGGAGATGTGAAACCAACAAGTACAGGGAATGGGGGCCCGATGACGAGGGGGAATGGGGAACCAACGAGGACTGGAGATGGAGACCTGACAACTGTCCCCGGCCATCTTCTTGGGATGACGGAGGCTGCCAAGGACCTGAGGACTTTTTTGAAAATGACTGGAACCCGGTGAGGGGGTCGTGGGCTGGGGAGGTGGCAGCAGCTACGTGACTGAGGGCAAGGAGTGGGAGAAATGAGGCAGAGGCCATTCCCTGCCCTGGTGACAAGGACAGTGCAAGGGACAGTTATACCTGCACGGTGCTGGGAGCAGCAGCAGCCCAGCTTCTCTGCTCTGCAGTCACAGCATCCCCTGTCCTGCTCTGTGTCTAAACCCACCCCCTTCCCTGCAGGAGCAGCAGCAACCCGGCCGCAATGACTCTGCCTGGTTTGAATTCCCCAGTGAGGAGCAGCACCCATGCTGGGCCCCCGCCAACTTGCTGAGGTGGGTGCCCATGCCGAGGGTGGGGGGTTCAGGGGGCACCGTGCAGCTGTGGGGTGGTGAGCGGGGACACCGGGGACGGGCTCTGCGCGGGTGCACAGCCAGGGTGCAGCGCTGAACCTGGCCCTGCTCAGGGTGAGGGGGGTTGCACCGGAGACCCCTTCCAGCCTAAATCCCCCACCCTGGGACTCTCTTTGCTCCCGCAGGGGGAGAGGCAACTTCCGGAGGAGCTACATGGCCTGGCAGTGTCATGGCCTGAGTGGGAAACGCTGGCAACAGCTTCACCATGGATACCAAGAGTTAACCTTTGTCCAGCACTTCACATACCCCTGGGACTCCAGAGGTTTGTGCTGTACGGGCTCCCAGGGGCTGCGAGGGGCCACATCCTGCTCAGCAGCATCTCCTCGGGCTGAGCAAGGAGTTGCTCCCATTGTGTTTCTCGCTCTGCAGGGAATCCGTCACACTCCAGGGCCTTTCCTTCCCACTCTGGGAGGAAGCAGTCGGTGCTGAAAGAAATGCTGCGGCCCCCTAATCCTCCCCGACCACATACTGCCTCCAAAGACGGTGCAGAGAGCACGAAGCAGATGGCTCAGGTTGTGGGTTATTAGCCCCCACCATCCCAGCACCCAGCAGGGACCCGAGTTTGCAGGGTCTGAGCCCCGCGCAGTGCCACCGTAAGCCCTAACCCGTGTGGTTTCCCCCAGGCTGTGAGCACAAAGGCCCTGGAGCCCCCCAAACCAGCTGCCCCCCGTCAGGAGAGCACGGCTGCAGATCCCCAGGCTGCGACAGAGGCTGCAGAGCCAGAGCAGGCAGCAGGAGCGACGCCCGTAGGAGAGCAGGCAGGGATGCTTCCACCCCTGGAGGTGCCTGGGCCGGTGTAAAGTCTTCCTCCTCTCTCATGCAGCCCTTTCGCTCTTCACTTTGCTGTCTCTTTGCCAGGCACGGAAATTTTCCTGACTCTTCTCCAGGGTTGCAAAGCCCTGGGGTTTCCCTTGGGTTTTAGCACCCCGTTTGTCCTGTCCCCCAGCTCTTCTCCCCAGGATGTGTAGCCAAGGACTGGTCACCCCACGGGGGGACCCACTGGCCTCACACATTCACGTGTCCCCAGGTGGAGCCAGGAGTGGGCAGCCACAGCCAGAGCCCCTCTGCTTCGGAAATGGAGCCAGCCACACTGGAGGAGAGCTCTGCCAGCACGGGGGAACACCTTGAGGTACGAGCTAATGATTCTCCTCTTCCCACCTCAAATCAGTGCCACGGGGGAGGCAGGAGCTTGCAGCCCCCTGTACAAACCCTTTATTTTCCCCTTGCCCCGGCGGCGTTGCCAGCCCTCGCCCTGGTCTCTGCAGCACGTCTGTGATGCTTTGCACAGGTAGAGCCGCTCAGCCAAAGTGTCCCCGAGGCTGATGAGGGCAGTGGGTCACATCCCCAGGGGCCAGCAGCCCCCCCCAAGCCTGCTGAGAAGGTCTGCGTGGTGGTCGGCTCCGCTGGAGAGGTTGGTGCTGAGCTCTGCCCCTGTTCCCGGGGCCAGCAGCGTCTGCTGAGTGGAGCTGGAGAGGCTGAGACAGAAGCTGCCCGAGATGGGGTGAGTTTTGGCACATGGGTGCCGTGTCCCCCACCCTGGGTGAGAGCCCCTCCAGGCCGCTGCTGCAGGCAGGGGCTGTGCTGGCTCCCCCCGCTCCTGTGCAGCCACTGCCTTCCTCCCCCAACTCCTTTCTCTCTCCCACAGCTTCTCGGTGACCTTCAGCCACCCGAAAACTTGCAGGTCCTGCCAGTAGCTACCCCAGATCCCGATGCACAGCCCAGCAAGGCTTGTTCTGATACCTGCACCACACCAGAGACCTCACCGGGGACCCAGCACCCTCCTGGGTCTGGTGAGACAGAGCCGGTATGGACTCAGGGTGTCTCCACTCCCCCACGCTCACCCCAAGGCGTCCCCTGGCAGGGCAGGTCCCCTGGGCTCAGGGATGCTGCCAGAGCCCAGGAGCAGTGGAGGGGGATCCCTCTGGCCTTGCCGTTTGCAGGATTAGGGGCTGGGGTTAAAGTGCTGCTTTGTCTGGAGGCAGAGCCCGTATCAGCCCTGGTGCTGGCTGTGCCGGAGATGCTGATAAACAGGAGATAACTGGGAGAAAAGCCAAAAATATAACTAGAGCCTTGAGAGCGTGCTGGAGCGTGAATGACCCTGGGACTCAAGCTTTAACGAAGCAAACGAGCATTGCAGAGCAGCTTAATTACTGCCTAATGGGGAAGAGAAATCTGCTAGCGGAGCTCTCGCTGCCCAGGCTGGGGCAGAGGGGGGAGCTGGGGGCAGGTCTCACACCTGAGGGAGAGGTTACACACCAGCCCCCCCGGGGAGCCAAAGTCCCAGCGGGTCCCCCCGTGGGGTGACCAGTCCCTGGCTAGTAACCAGTACTGCCCAGTTTAGCCCCAGTGTTGCCTAGTCCCTCTTCCCTACAAAGCAGCCGACCCTTTTTCGCTGTTTGCACACCCCCCAGGCCGCAGGCAGCCAGCAAGGGCTCCCAAAACGCCCCCCAGCCAGCACCGACCTCCGCTCCGCCGCCATCCTCGCCAGGAAGGAGGAGATCGAGCTGGTGAGTCCCGGCGGCCCCTGGCCGAGGCGTGTGGGGGCCTGGGATGGGCTGCGGTGGAGGGACTCCCCCGGGGACCCTTTGAACCATGGCGGGAAAAGCGATGCCGGGGGATGAGGGATATGAATTTTAGCATTTTTGGGGTTACTGGCGAGAAACCCCTCCTGGTGAGGGTGGTTGCAGGTTTGTTGGCAAGAAGTGGTTTGTAGGGGCTTGGATGCTCTTGGGGGGGGGTTGTGGACCAGCCCCAGGGGAAAAAATATCCCTAGAGAGGGGCTGCACGCTGCTGGAGGGGAGGTTTTGGGGTTCCCCGTTCCGACCCCGTGCTGCTCCCCTGCAGTTGTACCAGAAGTTCAGCCTGACCATCGCGGTGGTGGCCACAATGCTGCTGCAGAAGGAGCCCTCCATGGAGGCGGCGCTGGGGCTGGCGCTGAGGGCCAACCTCCGCCAAGGCCGCATCCGTCTCCTCCAGGAGCTGGAGGACTTCATCAACAGCTACGACTCGGCCACCTTCAGGCCCTGAGGGGGGGCTGGGGCGAGTGGATGGACACCCCCTCTCACCAGCTGGGGTTGGGAAGGTGAGGGGGGGGGCCCATGAGAGCGCATCAGGGTGCTTGTGATGGTGCTGAGCCCTCGGTCAAGGTGGTGCAGACATGTTGGTGCAGTCCCACCATCTCTCTTGGAGGCGGGGGGTGCTTAGTTTTAGCCCTGCCCAGACCTGTATGTGCAGTAAAAGGGGGGAGCTGGTTTTACTGGAGAGTGGTGGGAGGGGGAGCCCCAGATCCTCACTCCCTCCATTCCTGGCTCATAGTAGGGATGTTCCCCGAAACCCTGGTGGTCTTTCTTGGTTGTAAATTTAAAAATAAACCAGCTGTGATCTTTGCAGCACTTGCTCAGCTGTTGTTCTGGCCCCGCTCTCCTGGGGCCAGCGAGGGAGGGATGAACCCACCGTGGGGGACCCCCGGCGGTGGCAGAGGACAAGGAGCACCCCTGGCGCCCACGCTCCTCTGGTGACGTGGTCCTGTGGTGTCCCGCAGTGACCCTGGCGTGGGGAGGAACGGGGCAGACGTGTGGTGCCTTCTCCCGTGTTCAGATTTCAGCCAAACTTTTATTTGGAGCATCGTCATCGGCAGCAGCAGAGCTGCCCCCCCCATCCCCTCCTTGCAGTGGCAGCAGGACACGGTGCCACCAGGGATGAAGAGTGGCTGGTGGTGACCTTCATCCTTCAGGAACGTGTCGCAGAGAAGGATCCCACCCTGGCAGCCAGCACCCTCCTGTCCCCGTGGGACCCGGCAGCGGGACAGTGCAGGCAGCTGCCCTTGTTTTAAGCACCCAACTGCCCACCCCTGCGTGCGGCAGCTCTCGGGGGCGGCCGCCTTGGCCGAGGTGGGATTGAGCTGCCGGCTCTCTGCTCCCTACCTGCTTTACCTGTTCCTAATTGCGGGAGAGGCCGGCAGGAATTGCAGCAGGAATTGCAGGCTGTGCTTTGCCAGCAGCTGCCGGAGGGCGGGAAGGATCCCAGCGGCTTCTTCCCACCAGCCTTGGGCTGCGTCCAAAATCCGCGTGGAACGTGTTGAGACTGTGGCAGGGGCTGGCAGGACCCGGCAGGGACTGGCAGGAGGGTGGTGCTGGTTGAGGACACCCCCCACCCCCCCCATCCCCGCTGCTAGGACACACTGCAGTGCTTGCTGCTGCCCCGCCGCTTTGCCGTCCTGCCCCCAGCCCTCCCCAGGGGCTCCCTGCCCAGGGAGCTCATCCCGGGCTTTGGGATGGGCTTCCCGAAGAAGAAACCCTCTTCCTCCGAGTCCGAGTCCGAAGATGAAGAGCAGGTGGGACACCAGGAGTCATCCTCCTCCGTGACGTCCTGCAGGTCGATGTCCTCCGGCCGCGGGCTGTGGCGGGCAGGGGATGTCCCCGCTCGACAGTGTGGGTCTCCATTGCCTGCAGGTGTTCGGAGGTCAGGGTCCCCCAAAACTGGGTGGCCCAAGGCTCCAGGCTCGTTGAGCCCCTCTGTGCTGGGCTGGGGGGCAGAGGGGTGGCCGGTTGGTGGTCCCAGCATCCCTGTGTGCACAGCATCCCTGCTCCGCTCCTGGGCAGCTGCTCCGCAGTCCTCCAGGCTCCTGAACGCAGGATGCACAGGGCCCTGCTCCAGCAAAGCCTCTGGAAGGAGGAAAGCAAGGATGGGTGAGGAAGGCTGAGCCTGCCCTGCCACAGCCCCTCGTGCAGCGAGGGCTGCCTCTGGGTGCACCGGAGGGTTGGATCAACCCAACCCCAGCCGCCAGCGCTCGCCCTCCTGCGGGATGTGGGCTGGGGGCCCCTCGCTGCTGCTCCAGCCCTGGGTTGGGCTGCACCCGTGCGACAGACACATAAAGTACCCAGGGGCAGAGCAGAGCTGGGTTTTGCTCCCGCTCTCCTCCCACCACGTAGCAGTCGGGTCCCTACCTGCCCCTTCCACCCTCTGCCAGCAGCCCCCGGCCGCCGAGGTGCTGCCCGTCCCCGGCGCGGTCCTGCCAGCGGGGCCGGCGCGGGAGAGGGGCGTCGAGTCGGGGGACGGAGCCGAGGCGAAAGCCGAGTCGGAGGAGTCGGAGGCGGTGGAGGACGAATCCCACCCCAGGCTGCAGGTCTCGGAGCAGAAGAGCCGGCCGTGGCGGGAGGTGAGGGGCTGCCCCCGCAGCGGCTTTCGGCAGAGG